ATCCCCCCCATCCCCCCATCCCCCCCATCCCCCCATCACCCCCCCATCACCCCCCATCACCCCCATCACCCCCATCACCCCCCATCCCCTCCCATCCCCCCATCCCCCCCATCCCCCCCCATCACCCCCCATCATCCCCCATCACCCCCCATCATCCCCCATCCCCCCATCACCCCCCCATCCCCCCATCATCATCCCCATCACCCCCCCATCACCCCCCATCACCCCCCCATCACCCCCCATCACCCCCATCACCCGCAGGAGCAGCCGCCCAGCCTCTGGGTTCAAACCCCTTCCTGCCGGGAGGCCTTGCTCCTCACTCACCGCCGCCAGCCCCTCCCCCTCCCTCCGCTCAACCGCAGCTCCAGCCCCAGGCCCCCCGGCCCCAGGCCCCCCAGTACCCTGGCCCCAGGCCCCCCAGTACCCCGGCCTCAGGACCCACAGCACCCTGGCCCCAGGCCCCCCAGCACCCTGGTCCCCCAGCACCCCGGCCCCCCAGGCCCCCCAGCCCCAGACCCCCCACCACCCCGGCCCCAGGCCCCCCAGCACCCCGGCCCCAGGCCCCCCAGCACCCTGGCCTCAGGCCCCCCAGCACCCCGGCCCCAGGCCTCCCAGCACCCCGGCCTCAGGCCCCCCAGCACCCCGGCCCCCCAGCACTCCGGCCCCAGGCCCCCCAGTACCCCGGCCTCAGGCCCCCCAGCACCCCGGCCTCAGGCCCCCCAGCACCCCGGCCCCCCAGCACTCCGGCCCCAGGCCCCCCAGCACCCCGGCCCCAGGCCCCCCAGTACCCCGGCCTCAGGCCCCCCAGCCCCAGGCCCCCCAGCACCCCGGCCCCAGGCCCCCCAGCCCCAGGCCCCAGCTCTGGAGAACAGCCGGGAGACTCCTGTCCGCCCACAGCAGGGACGGGCTCAGTGGGGGTGCCCCTCGGAGGTGCCCGCTGTGCCTCCAGAGGAGCATCAGGGACAGCCGGCCCTGGGTGCCAGCGGCCCGCGGACGGACGTGTCCCCAGTGCCAAGAAGAGCCAGGCCCAGGGGAGCCGGGGTGGTCGGCGGGTGATGGAGCCCCAGGTGCCAGCCCCTCCTCCCTGGGCCTGAGGTCGTGGCCAGGCCCCGGGGGAGAGGGAGGGGGCGCGTGGCTGCAGGCGCTGGGCCGGGCGCGGAGGAGGAGGAGGAGGAGGAGGAGGAGGAGGAGGAGGAGGAAGAGGAGGAGGAGGAGAGGATGGGGCTGCGGCCAAGGCGTGCGGCGGCCTCCGGAAGCCGGAGGGAGAGAAGCCCCCCAGCCCTCCCCGCAGAGAGCGGCTGTGCCGCGTACGCCCCGCCGGGGGCGCTGTCCCCGCAGCCACAGGCCAGGGAGGAGGGCTGAACAGGCCCCCCTCCGCTCCCCTGGGCCCGTGGTCCGGCTCCGGCTGCAGGACCAGCCGCCTTCCAGGCTGGACGCCGAGAGCCTGGCGGCCACGGGGCCATCTCCCCTCCCACACGCAGGGGGCGACCAGGAGGTTTGACGGCAGCGGCGTGTCTTTGGGCCCAGCTGGCGTGACTCCGTGGCTGAGCACTGACCCACGAACCAGGAGGTCACGGTTCGATCCCCAGTCAGGCACAGGCCGGGCTGTGGGCTTGACCCCCCGTGGGGGCGGGCAGGATTCCCCCTCATCACTGGTGCTTCTGTCTCTCCTTTCCCTCTCCCTCCCCCTCTCCCTTTCCCTCTGAAATCAATGAGGACTTTTAAATAGTAATACACGGGCCTGTAGGCCAGGATACCTCAGGACAGGAGCGCGCCCGAGGCGGCCCTCCCCCCCCCCCCCCCCCCGCCGGCCTGTCAGCAGCACAGGAAGCCGCCGAGCGCCGCCGGCTCGCTTACCGGGGGCAGTAACGGGAGCCGGGCGATGACACGCCGCTTTCACCGGGAGAAACGAGCTCGGCCATCCCCACGTGGGAGCAGGGCTTCAAAGGGGAGGGAGCGAGAAGGCGGGGACGGGTGCCAGCCGCCAGCCCCCGGCCTGTCTGCGGGGACCGCGGGTCACAGAGTGCCCGGGCGGTCAGCGGGCCCCACCCCCCGGCCTGTCTGCGGGTCACAGAGTGCCCGGGCGGTCAGTGGGCCCCCCTCGGCCTGTCTGCGGGGACCGCGGGTCACAGAGTGCCGGGACGGTCAGCGGGCCCCCCCTGGCCTGTCTGCGGGGACCGCAGGTCACAGAGTGCCCAGGCGGTCAGCGGGCCCCCCCGGCCTGTCTGCGGGTCACAGAGTGCCCGGGTGGTCAGCGGGCCCCCCCACCCCCGGCCTGTCTGCGGGGACCGCGGGTCACAGAGTGCCCGGGCGGTCAGCGGGCCCCCCCGGCCTGTCTGCGGGTCACAGAGTGCCCGGGTGGTCAGCGGGCCCCCCCACCCCCGGCCTGTCTGCGGGGTCACAGAGTGCCGGGACAGTCAGCGGCCCCCCCCCTCCCCCCCGGCCTGTCTGCAGGGTTACAGAGTTCCCCAGGACGGTCAGCGGGCCCGGCCCCGCCCGCCGCGTCCGGGCGATCCCAGCGATGACACGGTCCCGCCATTATTCCCTGCAATGACTCCCGTGATGAAAACTAAATTTGAGAACTTGGGCGTTTTCAACAGGCCAACCCTCCTGGCAGGGGTCCCGGGCCCAGGGTCCCTCGTGGCCTCTCGAACCCGGCCTGCTGCTGTGGCCCATGAGGCAGGGCTGGACTCCTCGGCCGCATCAGACCCCGCCTCGGCTTCCGCTCGAGTGTGGGTGCTGCAGGGTCCCCCACAGGTTCCCGCGGACACGTCTTGACCAGGGAAAGGGCCGATGGCACAGCACAGCTGGGCAGCCCCCGAGGGGCAGGGCCAGGTCTGCGGGCGCCGGCCGGGCACGCAGCAGTGGCCGATGGAGACTCACGGGGCCTGAGTGGCCACTGGCGGGGTGACCGGGAGGTGGTGGCCTTTTCTGGGGGGCGTGAGGCCGCAGCACAGGGACCGAGGCCGAGGCCAGCCCCCGCCATGGAGCGGAAAGGAGAGGGAGGGCAGACACCTACCGCATGGGGACCTGCTCGGAGCACGGTGCCACTGAGACCTGGGGGAGCAGGGCATCCAGGTCCCCGGGGCAGAACCGGAGCCCCTCCCACCCGGCACCGCAGGAGGGAGGCAGGGGCTGGGTCTCCTCTGTCCCCCTCTCCCCCACCAGGAGCCGGTCCAGGGTTAGCACCCGGTGAGTGAGACGGGGCAGAGCCTTCCGGGCCTGGGAGGACAGGACAGGACGGCTGGCCATCGCCAGGCGGGAGGGAGGCCCCGGGGCGGGCAATCCAGTGCCTCTGCGGGCGCTTGGCCGTTCCCACCGGCAGGTGACCGGCTGGCGCAGAGGCGGCAAGCGGGTGCACACCCCTCCGGAGGCCGCACACCCGCTCCCTGGCGTCTCCTCCTGCGGGCAGCAGCGCCGGCCCACAGCCCACGCCGCCCCGCTCTCCCTGCTCAGAAAAGCCCGCCGTCCCCGGGGCCCCGCCTGAGCTGGGTGACCCGGGTGTCTGCCCGCAGAGCCGAGCGCACAGCTGTCTGTCGAACACGTGAGCCCGAGCCGCTGTCACAGCCGGGGGTCTGCCGGCGGCCTCACCGGGAGCCGCCGCTCCTCCGGCCCCTGGCGGGCTCGGCGGTTCCCAACGCCGCGTGGGGGCGCCCGGAGCGGAGCGCGTGGTCACCGCTCCCGGGAGCAGGCGGAAAGCAGCCCTCTCCTCCGGCCGTGACCTCCAGCTCCCGCTTCCCTCCCTGTCACGCCCACGGCAGCCCGCCCGCCGGGAAGGCCCGGGGCGCCTCCGCCAGCCCGCCTGCCCGCCTGCCTGCGGGGAAGCCCTGTCCCAGGAGCACCGAGGCCCCGGGGGTCTCCGAGGGGGACTGTGCCCACGGGAGGGTGACCAACGCCACGGGCCACGGGGACCTCAGAGCCGGCCTCGGGAAGTCAGCTCGGGACCCGGCGTCCGTCTGCCTCCACAGGAGGAAGGCGGGCAGAGGGAACCCCGGGGACCCCCGGGCCCGTGGGGGCTGGGAGCCTTGGGTAAGGTGACCAGATGTCCCGCTTTTTTTTTTTTTTTAAATAATTTTTTTGTATTTGTATTGATTTTGTACAGAAAGGAAGGGAGAGAGGTAGAGAGCTAGAAACATCGATGAGAGAGAGTCATCGATCAGCTGCCTCTTGCACACCCCACTCTGGGGATATGCCCGCAACCAAGGTACATGCCCTTGATTGGAATCGAACCCGGGACCCTTCAGTCCGCAGGCTGACACTCTATCCACGGAGCCAAACCGGTTTCGGCCAGATGTGTCTTTTTAACAATGCGTCTTGCGTCCCGCGGCAGTTTAAAACAGTCCCGATGTCGCCGAAACCGGTCTGGCTCCGTGGACAGAGCGTCGGCCTGCGGACTGAGGAGTCGCCGGTTCGATTCCGGTCAAGGGCATGTGCATGGGTGGCGGGCACGTCCCCAGTGGGGGTGTGCAGGAGGCAGCTGATTGTGTTTCTCTTTCATCCATGTTTCTAGCTCTCTATCCCTCTCCCTTCTTCTCTGTAAAAAATCAATAAAATATATAAAAAAATAAAAAGAAAAAAATTATTTTATTATTTTATTTTTATTTTTTTTATATATTTTATTGATTTTTGGAAAAAATCGGGACTTTTTTAAAACGTTGCAGGACTCGGGACAAATTGTTAAAAAGCGGGACGTCTGGCCACCTTAGCCTCAGGCCAAGCACAGGTGCCCGCACCCTCACCCCCCACCTCACCCCGCCCCGCGCCCCGGCCGCACACCTACCCGTGAAGCCCTCCTGGCAGGCGCAGGTGCCACCCCCACCCCCCGCCTCACCCCCGCCCCGTGCCCGGCCGCACACCTACCCGTGAAGCCCTCCTGGCAGGCGCCCGCACCCCCACCCCCCGCCTCACCCCCGCCCCGCGCCCAGCCGCACACCTACCCGTGAAGCCCTCCTGGCAGGCGCAGGTGCCACCCCCACCCCCCGCTCCGGCTGCACACCTACCCGTGAAGCCCTCCTGGCAGGCGCAGGTGTAGCCACCCTCGCGGCTGCGGCAGCGGCCGTGGGCGCCGCAGGGGCTGGAGTAGCACAGGTCCACCTCGGTCTCGCAGGAGTCGCCGGTGAAGCCGGGCGGGCAGCGGCAGCGCAGCCCGTGCACCGGGTGGATGGGCCGGAAGAGCACGGAGGCGGAGGCCAGGAAGGGCGCGGACGAGTCGAAGCGCAGCACGGACACGCACTTCATGTAGTTCTCGCAGGGCTCGCGCAGGCAGATGTTGTCGTCGAAGGGCAGCACGCGCTGCGCGGACACGGCGGCGAGCAGCATGCGGTTCAGGTAGATGCGCTCCTGCAGGTCCTCGGCGGGCAGGAAGCGGCCGCCGCCATCGCCGCCATCGCCGGGCAGCAGGGCGGAGAAGGTCACGTTCAGGATGCGGGCGCGCACGTCCGTGTCGTTCTGCACGTTGAAGACGAAGACGGCGTCCGCGCGGGTGGACAGCACGGCGGCCACGCCCTCCACGAAGCGCGCCAGCAGCGGCGACAGGAACTGCTCCTGCGACATGTCCTCCAGGCGCACCGTCACGCTGTTGGTCAGCATGTCGTCCGTGACGATGGTCACCCGCAGGGTGCAGAGCGCCGTGACGCTGTGGACGCCGTCTGCGGGCAGACACGGGGGCAGGTCACTCGGGGGCCACCCCCGCACCCCACCGCTCAGCAGGACTCCACGGCCACTGGGATCGGCCCCTCACTGCCCCCAGGCTCTGCTGCAGACACGGGACCCTGAGCCGCCCTTTACGCCTCTGCACCTGCTCCAACCGCCAGGAGACCCCGATCCCACCCAGGCCCGGGTGAAGGCTGCTCCCCCGATCTCTGGGCCCTGCACGCAACACGCTCAGCGGTGCCGCTCTGGACACGCACCCGCGGACGCCGCTCCTCAGCCCCACAGCGAACCCACCGCAGGGCCAGGTTCTCAGGGCTGAGACGGGAAAGGGCGGCTCTTTGGGGGTACAGAGCTGAGCAGCCATCGGTCTGAGCCCAGACTCAGAGGAGCTGCCCCAGGGCCGGTCCCAGGGGCTCCCAGCGATGGTGAGGGGCCTCCCAGGCCGGCCGGCCGGCGCCGAGGACCCCGAGAGCGCTGGGCAAAGCCACCTCCCCTGGCTCACTCAGTGTCCGCAGCCAGATGTGCCCCCTTCCGCTCCCTCAATGTGGCTCCCTGCCCCCCCCCCAGTTTCCATGGTGACAAGCCCCCCGCCCTCCCCCCCCCCCAGCACAAAAAGTGTGGGGACAATGGGAAATGGAGCCGCTCCAGAGTCACAGCACCTTGCTGCTCCGAGTGGCCTGTTCGGAGGAAACTGTGAGGAACCAGGAGACAGGGAGACACTTCCTGCGGGGAGCACAAGCCCAGCCCCCCAACACCGGCTCCTGGGGTGGTGCCGGGGCCCTGCCACCAGCTCGACCCGTCCCCCGAGGCCGGCTGTCTGCGTGGCCTGGGCGCGGGGTGCGGGACGGGCTCGAGGACAGTAGCGAGGCCAGGGCCACTCAGCGGGGCAGCATGTGGACAGCCCCGCCCCCGCCTGCAGTCACACCAAAGGCCGAGGTGACCACAGGTGAGCGACGCGGAAAAGGGAATGCAGGCAAAGAGAATGCAAGACACACGGGCGGACAGACCTCCTTCCCCCCACAAGAGGGCCCTCCCCCACAAGGGCTCCCCGAGACGCAGGCTGGGCAGGAGCTGCCTTAGTTTCCCTCCCCCTCTGTCCTCACACGGCAGCCCCAGCCGTCGTCCCCATGACCCCGATGGTCCCCGGCATCCGACCCCCGCTGCTTGCCCACCTCATGGTCCCACAGGGTCTGCCTGTCACCTCCCGCCCCCCCACCCGCCCCAAGGCCTTGGCACGCCCGTCCATGCTGGGAGCGCTGCCCTCCTGCCCCACACTGTCCAGGCCTCAGCCGACTGCCCCCCGCACAGGGCCTCCTGCACACCCCTCACACCCTGCCGCGCCCCTGCTAACCCCCCACGGGCGCGCTGCAGCCCGATCTCATTGTCATATCTGTCACCCGCCCCCCGCGGGCTCACGGGGACCGGGAACCTGCAGGTCCTGTTCCCGCCCAGCGCCTCTCGTCCAGAACAGCTCCTGGCACCGAGCGGCTGGGTAAACACTGGTGCAGCGGGAGGCAGGGAGGGGGCGGGGAGGGCGGGAAGGATGGGGTTCCAGTGGCTTCTCTTTCACCCGAGACTGACGTTTGCACACACAGCACAGAGTCTATTTCCCGGGTGAGCTGTTCTCCTGGGTGTTCCTTTTCTTTTCTTCTTCTGGGCAAAGGCCCGTCCTCCCACCCGGACGGGGCTGGTTCCTGTTTGCTTCCCGGTGGCAGCTGTGAGGAAACCCGCCTTCAACCGTAAGCCACGCGAGGACGTGGCCTGGCCCACAACGAGGAGGTTCCTAAAAGGAGCCGATTTTAGCTCCACGCCCAGCGGGTCCTGGGTGCTCCGGGCCGCCCTGCCCTGGGGGGCGGGTGGGGGCTCCGGGGCTCAGGCCCTCCCGCGGGCGGCCCCGGAGGGCACCGCGCCTGGGACGCCAGGAAGACACACCGCGTGGCAGGGACCCTCTGCACGCAGGGACAGAGCGACTGACCAGGGACAGAGCACGGACTGTGAGGTCCCGGGGAGTGCGCTGGGAAACAAAGCAGGCACCTGTCGGTCACCGCCGACTCCTCCCCACACACGGACCGTTCCGGCACCCAGTTCCTGGGGGCCGATGGATCCGCTTCGCATGTGTCGCCCAGGCTGGGTTTCTGAGCCCCTCACCCGAGTCACAGAGTGGGGGGGACAGAATGGATGGCAGGGGCGTGGCTGCGGGTGCCAGCTCAGCTAGGGTTCGGGGAGCCTGAGGGAGGGCCTGTGAAGGATGAAGAAAAGACAGACAGAGAAAAGGTGGGTCCAGGTGGATCTCCTGTGCCTGGCTGAGGCCACAGAGACCCAGGCGGCTAGCTGAGCCTTATTTTACAGCCAGAGGGAAACAACGTGGTGGTCACCACGGTTACATGTTCTTGTGAGTTCCCCTGTCTTGGCGGCCCTTGCTGGCCCTCCCGCAGCCATCAGCTGCCCCGGGAGGATCTAGGAAGCGTCAGAAGGAAAAGCTTGATGGTGCTGAGCGGCTGTGCCCTCCACGCCGGGACTTGTTTGCGGCTTTGCCAGCGGGTCAGTCTGAGGCTTAACCCTACGGCCGCTCCCTCCAGCTGTGGGCTCTGACAGCGGCCCCGACGGCACGCCTGTGGAGGGAGGATCTGCAGGAGGCCGTGCACCAGGGAGGCCGTGCACCGGGGAGGCCGTGCACCAAGGAGGCCATGCACCGGGGAGGCCGTGCACAGGGGAGGCTGTGCACCCCAGGGAGGCCATGCACAGGGGAGGCCGTGCGCCCGGGGAGGCCGTGCACAGGGAAGCCGTGGGTCCGGGGAGGCCGTGCACTGGGGAGGCCGTGCACCCCAGGGAGGCCGTGCACCGGGGGAGGCCGTGCACCGGGGGAGGCCGTGCACAGGGGGAGGCCGTGCACGGGGGAGGCCGTGCACCGGGGAGGCCGTGCGCAGAGGGAGGCCGTGCGCCTGCAGGAGGCCGTGCACAGGGGGAGGCCGTGCACAGGGGGAGGCCGTGCACCGGGAGAGACTGTGCATAGGGCCGTGCACCCGCGGGAGACGGTGCACCGGGGGAGGCCATGCACCCAGGGGGAGGCCATGCGCAGGGGGAGGCCGTGCGCAGGGGGAGGCCGTGCACAGGGGAGGCCGTGCACAGGGGAGGCCGTGCACCGGGGAGGCCGTGCACCGGGGAGGCCGTGCACCAGGGAGGCCGTGCCCCGGGGAGGCTGTGCACAGGGGGAGGCCGTGTACAGGGGGAGGCCGTGCACCGGGGTGGCCGTACACTGGGGAAGGCCGTGCACCGGGGAGGCCGTGCACCCGCCGAAGGCACAGGGGGTCACGGGGGCAGCCTGTCTGACCTCTGACTCTGTTGTCAGGATACCCGTTTCCACTACCCTGGCCCCCGTGGAGGGCCGAGCCCTGGGCGCCGGGGGCGGAGGATACACGGGGTGTTCGGGAGCCAGCGGCCCGCAGGACAGCGGACGGAGCTGCATCTGCGAGACGCGGTGCCAGGATGCCCGAGGAGGCCGCGGGGGGTCTCCCTGCAGGCCCGGCGGGTCAGGGGTCAGCAGGAGGCGGTGGCAGGGCCTGGGCCCCAGGACAAAGCACCACATCTGGGCGCAGGAGCCCGGGATCCGGTGTCGGCAGGGCTGGCTCCACAGGACTCCGGTCCCACCTCGCCGGGCATCTGCCGTCACCGAGATCCTCGTGTCCTCGGCCTGCCCCCCGCCCCTCCAATCGCTGCCTCGCTGCCACGTGGCCGCCCCGTGTGTCCGTGTCCAAACTCCCCTCCCTTAAGGACACCAGGCTGTTGGGCGAGGGCCCACCTGGCCCAGCTGACTTCGTCTCAAAGCTGCAGGCACAGCTGCACGGGTGCTGTCGCTAAGCCCCACCCCCAGGTGCTGTCGCTGAGCCCCACCCCCAGGTGCTGTCGCTAAGCCCCATCCCCAGGTGCTGTCGCTAAGTCCCACCCCGGGTTCCAGGTGGCCGTGAGCTGGGCAGATGGGAGCATAGGGGCCAGGCTTTGGCGGGCGCACACAGAAGCACCCACAGTGTGGCGTGGGCCTGAGTGACAGCAGCGACACCTCTTTCCAAACACAAATGCTGCGAGGAGAGGCTGTGAGGCCAGTTGCTGGGGGCCCGGCGGGAGGGGCGGGGGCGGGCGGAGAGACTGACCTCACAGCGTGAGGCCCGGGCACTGCCCGCAGCTCCCCGTGGCCCTGGGGACCCTGGGCGGAGCCCTCGGGGACCTCACCCTCTCGCTGCCCCCAGCACCCGAGGGGACCACCACCCACCATCACCTCCACCCGCACTTCCAGGGGACCCCTCCAACGGTGTGAACGTTCTCTTTTGGGGAAGATCAAATATTGGCCCAGACGGCTGTTAATTTGCACCTTACGAGGCGAGGCCAGAGACTGCGGTGTTCTTTCTTCCTGGTTAAATATTTGCTAAGAAATTCCAATCCCACAGCGCAGAGCCCCAGCCTAGCCGCAGGGCAGGCACTGGAGGGGGGGGGGAGGGGAGGGGAGCTTCGATGGTTCACAGCCTCCCCCAGCCCCTCCCCGCAGAGGCCTCCCCCTCGGAGAACGGAGAACGGGGCTCCGCCCCCCTTCGCCTGCGACATGCTTGTCCTGCCGTCTCATTCCCTCCTCCCGCCTCGGGTCCCCCTCCAGATGGCGGAGCCCCGCATTCAGAGGGACAAAAGGCTCCCCGTGGGTCTAGCAGAGACCAGCTCTCCTTCCACCTGTCTGCCCTGCGCCCCCCCCCACCCCCTCCTCCCGCCCCGCCCCGCAGGCCGGCTCAGAGGGCACGGGGAGGTCCCAGAAGGCCCGGAGCTGCCCGGGACGGACGAGGCCGAGTGGAGCATCGCCTGGCTCCGTCCGGGGACGGGAGGGCATCTCCGGTGAGGCTGGAAGCCGGTCTCCCTTCCCCACCCTCCCCCGCGGGCCCACACCGCCCTCCCCCAGCACCCGGCCCGGCGGCTCCCACGGTCCCGCCGCCAGGTCTGCGGGTGGCACGCCGCC